CAGTGGGTTGCCATGGGCTACCGTGGGTAGCCAGCAGCCACTGTGAGCAGCCAGCAGCCGCAGTGAGCGGCCGTCCAGAAGCCAGTGACTGATCTGCCGCGCCCGGGAAGAGCACAATGATGGTGCCAACTTAGGCCAGTGAAGCAATGTCCTCCACAACTAGACTGAAGAACAAAAGGACAGCAACTTGTCTGTTCCCCATCCCCCAATTCCACAATTAAAATCTTTAAAAAAAATAAACATATGTATGTATTTATATAAGTATGCATGTATGTATGTTTGTATGTATGTGTGTATTTAACAAATATTACTGAAGTCTATGTGCCATGACACTACTAGGTACCACAGGTACAGAGGTGAACAATGTACCATCCCAATGCCTCATGGAAAATACATTATCATGGGAAAGACAATATACGTACATGTAAACTATTTTTAAGAGTAATTTTAAAAACTTACCTCTCGATGAGAGAGATGAGACAGAAATCGAGACTGATAGCAGACCATGCCAAATATAAACCTACACTACATGGAACATAGTTCCTTATGCTTTCTGTTTAATAAAGTTTCCCCCCTCCCTCTACATCCTGCCTCCCCATCCTTATCTTCCTGCTCTGGTTGGTCACTCATCAGCCGACCACGTGGGCACTTATGGCACGAATGTGTACCAGATGTATGGCGCCTTGGGCCAGTTTACATACGAATTTGATGGAGATGAGCTGTTCTACGTGGATCTGGAAAAAATGGAAACTGTGTGGCGGCTGCCCGAGTTTAACAATTTCACCATATTTGAAGCTCGAAGTGCCCTGAGAAACATTGTTATGGCAAAAAGAAATTTGGACATCTTGATAAAAAATTCCAACTTTACGCCTGCCACCAATGGTAAGTGTCCACAATTCTGTCTGTCTTCACTGCATCTACCACACATTCCAGATCTCACCTCCTCCCCCAGGATAGCTACTCTTCCCAGCATGCTGTAAATTCTTCCACCTTTCTATTTCATTTCCTGGCAAATACCCAGACCCCATTATATCCATTTAATCTTTAAATATCCGTCCTCTAGGTTCCATGAGATACCACTTGTACTCTTATAATAGGATGTTCCCAACCTCCTCTTATAAGAAGAACACACCCACACACACAGACACACACACAGACACACACACACACACACACACACACACACACACACACACACTATGCTTTGTGGATTCCCAAAGAGAGGCAAGTGTTCTAAGCTTTATATTGATTCAAAAGACGAGAACAGTTCAAAAGAGAATTCACAAGACATTTCAGAGGACAGTTCAGAATCTGCAGATAAAGACCACAGCACCCCTTCTGAAGTCACAATAGATAACATTAAGCTTCCTCATTCAGAAGATGGAAAAGACAAGGTAGAAGTTTGGACAATCCAGCCAGTAAATAAAGAAATAGTGAAACAAATGACCTGAGAAACAGGCGGAAAAAGAGGCAAGGCTGTTGGTTACTATAAAATCAGTCTGAAAGGACATGTCTCACTAACAATTGGGGAACTGTGAATGGGAGGGCTCCCCCAAACAGATTAAGAAACTCAAGGCACGGTTGTCAGAAATTCAAATCAGTATTTCATCCTCATTGTAGAAATCCCTGAAGTGGCCGTGTTTCCCAAATCTTCTGTGATGCCGGGTATTCCCAACACCCTCATCTGCCTGGTGGACAACATCTTCCCTCCTGTGATCAACATCACTTGGTTGTACAATGGCCGCTCCGTTGCAGAAGGTGTTGCTGAGACCACCTTCTACCCCAAGAGTGACCACTCTTTCCTCAAGCTCAGTTACCTCACTTTCCTTCCCTCCAGCGAGGATTTCTACGACTGCAGGGTGGAGCACTGGGGCCTGGAGGAGCCGCTCCTCAAGCATTGGGGTATGTCTAAATGCTGTCACTGCTTCCACACCCTCTGATTCCGTCCCAAGTCCACTTGTCTTGCCTTATAGTCCTTGACTCCCGGGGTCACAGCTTTATTTCCCACAATTGCAAAGTTCTCCAATAATGGACTTCATTCTTCTCTCAAAGTCCAGGTGTCATGTGCGTTTCCAAACACACACACCCTTCTCTACATATAACACCCTCCACACACTGTGCTTTGACCCTGTAAGTTTCTTTTTTCTCAGAGCCTGAGATTCCAACCCCCATGTCAGAGCTGACAGAGACCGTGGTCTGTGTCCTGGGCCTGGCCGTGGGCCTCGTGGGCATCGTGGTGGGCACCATCCTAATCATCCGAGTCCTGCGCTCAGGTGGCGCCTCCAGGCACTGAAGGGCCACATGAGTCATGGCTTAGAAAGTGGGAAGGTAAGAATCAGCTGTAGCAGGTTGGGAATGATGTTACTGCAGGTAAGGAAGCCAAGGGTGGAGGATTGGCACCCAGGACACATAAATGGGTTGGAAAACAATGGGCAAATTGGAGAATGGGTTTCCCTTGGGACAGGAGCAGAAGACCCGTCAGTCTCATGCTGTTTCCTGTTTCAGGTGATCAATCGTTACAAGAAAGAAGAGGAGCGGTTCAGGCTCTAGCTCCCTGTCTCGGCCTTGGTGCCTGACTTAGACCCGCTCCCTGGTCCACTTCCTCATACTTCCTTCCACAGCCTCCTCGCCTTCTCGCTTGTGGAGAAGTTTTCTTTCAGAGATCACTGGCTCTTATGAATTCTTCCAATTTGGTCTTTATTTATCACCTACCTTTCACAGATCATCCCACCCAGCCACCTAGCTCTTAGTCACCCTAATTCAATACCTGTGATGAAGAAAAATAAATACCTTTCTGGGGTGACTTTAAATACAGCATACATTTCTCTGTCTTTTTGCTAAGGCTAATTCTGTTCATATATTAGAATGGAGGATCTTATACTGGAATGTTAGCAGGTGTCTCAGCTCCCTTGAACCTCTTTCTCAGGTCATGTTAATACCACACAGTCAGTGTCCAAATAATATTGTAACATAATGAACATGTTTTTTTCCTTTCTGTGCCTCCATGTTGCTCTTTCTCTCATTACCATTTAGATGTCAGTGAGGGTAGTGCCAACTTTCTCCCCTCAGTGTAGTGTTTTTACATCTAAATTGCCAAAAAAAAAGGTGGGGGGGAAGGGACAGTATTTAGGTTGTTAATTTTCAGGTAGAATTCTAAAATCTATAGAAGAGACAATAAATTGAAATAAAGTATTTTAAACACAAAAATTGGATTTTGAAAACGAAAAGTGGAAAAATTTTGCATAATTATTAGGTTTGTGACAAATGTAGAATGATTTGAGAGGTTTCCTCCCTCTTTCTTCCCCAGATGAGATAGAAACTCTCCAGGTTGGGAAGAGTCAGGAGTCAGAAGTGAGAACGATAACAGGAGATAACGCTGTGTGTACCTTGGAAAGTGCCCCACTCTTCGCTCTTATTTGGGTTAATACCAATGAGAAGGGAGAGATGCAGGTCGCTGAGCGGCCAGAGGGGCTACAACAGAGGAGCCAGAGCCTCACTTCCCTGTAGCACCATTTGGCGATAGTATAAACGCAATTCAAATTCACTCCATGCTCTGGCTCATAAATATGCTTATTGGCAACATGTTTAATTTGGGTTGTTTTTATTGCATGAGACTTTGTAGAAAAACTAAAATTTCAATAATATAATAATAACACAATATTTCAAATTTACAATGTAATCCTTTAGCATCCACAAAATGGACTGTTGAGAGGACCCACGAGGTAATACATATAAAACACTTGAGCTTCAGGTGTGGCACACTGTAAGCCCCACATACATGTTAACTGTGAGTAAGATTTATATTATTTGAACTTGAAACTCCAATCTGGGAACCAAGTTTTGTCCATGCCGAGCATTCTTTTTGCTTAAACCAGTTAGTCTTATACATCTTTACATCAATTCTGGGCATTGGGCATTCTCGCCTTTCTTTCTTTCATTCATTCTTTCTTTCATTCATTCATTCTTTCTTTCTTTCTTTCTCTGTTTTTTTCTTCTTTCTTTGTTCCATCTTCTTTCTTTTTCTTTTTTTTTTTTTTAAAGATTTTTATTGGGGAATTGGGGGGCAGTGTCACTGGCCCTCATATGTGGGATCCGAACCGGGGCCCTCTGGCGTCCCAAGCCAGCTCTTAACCAATGCGCCACTCGGCCGGCCACTCCATCTTCTTTCTTATTTTATTGTGGTAAAATATGCAGAACATAAAATTTGCCATTTTAACTATTATTTTATTTTATTGATTTTTTATTAGATTCAGGCACAAAACATAATAATTACTTTTGTAGAGGGGCCACAGGCTCAGCCCTGGCACAAGAACTGAACCTGCATTAAATTTGTGAAAACCACTGGCCCCATCCAGGTGACTTTCTGGGAGCCCACCCCACCCAACCCCGTGGCATCACTGGGAGTACTGTCAACACTAAGGCAAACAGTCCAGTTCATACATCTAAGGGGGCTCTTTCAGTGGCTGAGCTTTACAGGCAGCTGGCTGGTGGCAACAGGCCTAGGAGACACTGGGCTTATTTCTAAGCTGCCCCAGGCCTGATACTACCAGTCTCGGATCACAGCAAGGCCATCCCCACTTGCCTTCAGGTACAGCACAGACAGCAACAAACCACATATAGCTTTGTAGTTCTTACCAGGTAGCCCCGGGCCAGTCACAGACAGGCTGAAATTGGCCTGCACGGGAGACCTCCCAAGAGGTGCCAGAAACAACAAATCCAGAGGCTGGCTTCAGACCATAACAGAGCACTACCCTATTAACCCCATGAGAGGCACACCCAAAAGGTGGTCCCAACAGGTATAAGAGTCCACTGGGATGAATCATATTATATGGGGTCAGCTCCCACACAGCAATTCATATGCCGTGGGCATAGCAAATCCTCACAGCCAGTCAGCCTGAGGGTCAATGCCACCCACTAATGTGCCAAATGCAATCAAGGCTCACACAGCACAGACAAGGGACACAGCACAGGTGATCAAGGACACTGCATCACTGGACCACACAGGACACCTACTACATAAGGTCACCCAGCAAAGATTGAGAGACATAGCAGATCTACCTAATACATAGAAGCAAACTCAAACAAAAAAACACGTACCAAATAAAGAACAAGAGGAAACTCTAGAAAACGAAGTAAATGAAATGGAGACAACCAACCTACCAGAGACAGAATTTAAAACACTAATTATAAGAATGCTTAAGAAACTTAGTGAGAATTTCAACAATGAGATAGTAAGCATTGAAAAAGACATAGAAACCATAAAAAAAGAACGAGTCAGAAGTGAAGAATACAATAACTAAAATGAAGAATGCACTAGAAGGAATCACCAGCAGATTAGATGAAGCAGAGGTTTGAATCAGTGATTTAGAAGACAAGGTAGCAATCAGAACAAAAAGAAAAAAAATTTTTTTCTTTTGAAAGGATAGTTTAAGGGACCTCTGGGAGAGCATCAAGTGCAACAACATTTGCATCATAGGAATACCAGAAGAAGAAGAGACGGAGTAAAGGAATGAGAACCTATTTTAAAAAAATAATGACTGAAAACTTCCCTTACCTGATGAAGTAAATTGACATTCAAAGCAAGAAAATGCAGAGACTCCCAAACAAGAAGAAACCAAAGAGGTCCACACTAAGGCACATTATAATTAAAATAGCAATGATTAAAGACAGAGAATCCTAAAAGCAACAAGAGAAAGACAACTAGGTACTTACAAGAGCACTCCCATAAGACCATTGGCTTATTTCTCAACAGAAATTTGCAGGCCAGAAGGGAGTGGCATGAAATATTCAAAGCGATGAAAAGCAAAGGCCTACAATCAAGACTACTCTACCCAGCAATGTTATCATTTAAAATTGAAGAAGCGATAAAGAGCTTCCCAGATGAGAGAAAGCTAAAGGAATTCATTACCACTCAGCCAGTATTACAAGAAATGTTAAAGGGACTTCTTTAAGAGAAGACAGAAAACAACAAACAAAAGATAAAAAATATGAATAATAAAATGACAATAACTATGTACCTATCAATAATCACTTTAAAAGTTAATAAATTAAATGTTCCAGTCAAAAGACATAGGGTAGAAAACAGGTCCCATACATATGCTGTTTACAAGAGAACCACCTCAGTTCAAAAGACACACATGGACTGAAAGTAAAAGAATGGAAAAGATATTTCATGCAAATGGAAACAAACAAACAAAAAAGCTGGAGTAGCAATACTTACATCAGATAAAATAGACTTTAAAATGAAGACTATAATAAGAGACAAAGAAGGACATTAGATAATGATAAAGGGATGGATCCAACAAAAGGACATAACCTTAGTAAACATCTATGCACCCAACATAGGAGCACCTAAATATATAAAACAAATATTGACCAACATAATGTCAGAGGTCAACTGTAACACAATTATAATAGGGGAATTTAACACCGCACTAACACCAATGGACACATATTCCAGACAGAAAATCAATAAGGAAACAGCGGCCTTAAATGATACACTAGACTAGATGGATTTAATTGACATTTTTAGAGCATTTCACCCCAAATAAACAGAATATACATTCTTTTCAAGTCCACATGAAACATTTTTCAAGATAGGACACGTTAGGCCACAAAAAAAGTCTCAGTTTTAAGAAGACTGAAATCATATCAAGTATCTTCTCTGACCAAAATGGAATGAAACTAGAAATCAATTACAAAAAAAGAAAGAAAAAAAATCCCACGAAAACGTGGAGCTTAAGTAACATGCTACTAAACAATGAATGGGTCAACAATGAGATAAAAAAAGAAATCAAGTGAAACACCTTGAGACAAATGAAAATGAAAACACAATGACACAAAACCTATGGGACACAGCAAAGATGTCTAAGAGGAAAATCCATAGCAATGCAGGTCTACCTCAAAAAATGAGAAAAATCTCAAATAAACAAACTAACTTTACACTTAAAGGAACTGGAAAAAGAACAGCAAACAAAGCACATAGTAGAAGGAAGGAAATAATAAATATCAGAGCAGAAATAAACAAAATTTTAATTCATTGAAAACTAAAGATCAATGAATTCAAAAGCTGGTTCTTTGAGAAGATAAACAAAATTGATAAACCTTTAACCAGACTCATCAAGAAAAAAAGAGAGAAGACCCAAACCAATAAAATCAGAAATGAAAAAGGAGAAGTAACAACAGACACCAAAAGAATATTTAAAAATTTAACAAAATACTATGAGCAATTATACGCCAACAAATTGGACAATCTGGAAGAAATGGATAAATTCTAGAAGGATACAATCTTCCAAGGCTGAATCAAGAAGTAACAGAAAATCTGATCCGACTGATTACTACTAATGAAATCAAATCAATAATCAATAAGTTCACGACAAAGTCCTGGACCAGATGGTTTCAGAGGTGAATTTTACAAAACACTCAGAATTAATATGTATTCTTCTCAAACTATTTCAAAAATTTCAAGAGGAGGGAAGGCTCATTCTATGAGTTCGCCATTACCATGATTCCAAAGCCAGACAAAGACATTACAGAAAAAGAAAACTATAGGCCAATATCCCTCATGAATGTAGATGCAAAATACCTCAACAAAACATTAGCAAACCAAATTCAGCAATACATTAAAAAGATCATGCACCACAATCAAGTGGGATTTATTCCTGGGAGGCAAGTTTTGTTTAATATTTGCAAATTAATTAATGTGATATACACCACATAAACAAAATGAAGTATAAAAATCAT